AATATATATTCTTTTAATGTTCGGTGTTTATTCCCTTTGTGGGGCTTGAGTCACTCCCATTGGCATAAACATGGTAAAAATTGCACTTGGCTGCATGCCAGTGAGGTGGTAGAATTCTACCAGCAACACCTTTCATCAGGTAAGGACAGCTTTCCTTTCTGGTAGTAGCTACAGAAGGTATGTGTTGAATCAAGTGTATTCCCTGGACTCTGTGGGTGAACTACCCTGCACATGTCCATCTTTTCCATTCCCTTCGGAGAGAAGGATGTGGCCTCTTTCCATCACCATAACATACCCAGTGAGCTGCACCCTGGTTTGCAGTGGCAAAAATCAGCATGAGCAAGGAGATAATTTTTGCCATAATACATGTTTTGTTTTGTTTGCTTTTGTTTGGGTGTTTTTTTTCCTGGGATCAGGGAAGGCAAGGGGTGTTAAACATCCTTAAGTTTTGACATAACAAGCAGCGCAGAATGCTTGTTTGGTAACTAAGATTCCAAAAACTGTTTAATTTTTTCCTCCCAGTCAATGTAATAATACATTGTAGAATTTATATTTTCAAAATTTGCACAATTTCTGTACTTGCATACACTAGAATTTGAGTTGAGTACATTGTGAAATTTCAGCATACTCTAAATTTTGTTCTCAGCCAGTCTTCGTGAACTTACTAGTTTATTTATTTTTTGTGACTAACAAAACACAAAGCATTTGCTACTCAATTTTTAAAGATGAGAATGACCCGGTGTTTCCTCATACCATTTGACCAAGTATTTAGCCGGGCTGTGCTCTGGCTAAGGATGAAATTCAAGAACACGGAGACTTTTGACTGCTCAGACATTTGTGTACAGTAGTGGTGACCTAGTTTAGCTTCTGTTGTGAGATCGTGTTTAAGTTTGGTACATGCATTTCTTACAAATTTCTTAAGGAAAAATATAACATGACTTTGACTTTCATTGATTTATAAGGGAACAAAACATTTGAAAAACTAGAAGTTGCATTTCCCCTCATTTTATGGGTAAAGGATATTTTGAATGTCATTCAACTAAGGTAGTTGGTAGGATTTTGCACATTAATGTTAGAAATGTAAGTGTAAATAAGTAATTATGGAATATCAGACTTACAATTATAACTTTAAATTGTATTTCTAAAGAAAATATTATTTTGTGCATTTTACTATAAAAACATTCTGTCAGACATACCAACATTTTAAGCACTTTTCTTTTCCAAGATAAATAATATATCATTATATAATCTTAATATTCAAATTAGCAGAAATGGCTCAGAAAAGAGATGCATTCTGTTGAGAAACAGATAATTTGTCCTGTCCTGGTTCTCCGCCTATGTCTTTAATCTCTCCTTCAGTGTGTCCTTCAGAAGACTCGCCTCATCCCATATCCAACTTTTTGTAGGGTTCCACAAGGCTCTGGTGTTCTTAAGCCCCTTCTTTTCTCCCTCTACCCCTTATCTCTGGGCAGTATCTGTAAACACAAGTTCAACTACAATCTCTATGCTGACAACTCACAGATCTACCTCGCTGCCCAAGACCTGGCTGCTGTTCAAACTAAAATCTTAACCTGTCTCTTTGACACATCCTCATGAATGTCTAGCCATGAGCTCTACCTCAACATGGCTAAAACAGAATTCTTAATTCCCCCACCCCCGCAAAAAAACCCTCCTGGCCACCTCCTTGATCACTGTGGACAACACCACCATCCTTCCTATCACTCAGGCCTGTAACCTGTGTGTCATCTTTGACTTGAACTTTTCTCTAGGTCTTCACATCCAAGCTATGTTAAAATGTTGCCGATCCTTTCTACATAACATCTAAGATATGGCCTTTCCTATCCATCCACACAGCTAAAACTCCTATCCAGGCACTCCTCATCTTGTGTCTCAATTTCTGCAACCTCTGGTCTTGATAAATGCAATGCTTTACTCATATCCATTCAGAATACTATAGCAAAGATTATTTTCCTAGCCCATTACTATGCCACAGCTTCCCTTTCTCTGTCACATCAAACATTGGCTCTTTGTCTTCATTCTCCAGGCCCTTCATATCCTATGCCCCTTTACCTATCTCTCAATAGCTATCAAGCTGTTTACTCCTCCTTCTAATCAAACCACAATGCCAGTCTCCATTGTCCACTTGTTAGATTTTCACACAAGCATCTTTGTGTTTTCTCCCATGCTGCACCTCGTGCTTGGGAGGAGCTCCCCATAAACATCAGCAAAGCTATCTCATTATCTTCCTTCAAAATCCTCTTTAAAACTCTCCTTTTCTATGATGCCTACAAAAAAATCAACAACAGTTAGGGCACTGGTGTGCTGAGATCCCTTATTGTCATTACAACCAATATTGTATCTTAGTTTTCTTGTACTTATCTGTCTGCCTGTATTCATCTGTTGTCTCTTCTCTCATCCTTAGATGGTAGGCTCTTTGGGGCAGAGACAGTCTTCTTGTTCTGTGTTTGTACAGCACTTTGCACAATGGAGTTCTGGTTCATGACTAATGCTCCTGGGTTCTAAGCTAATACAAATAAAAAATAACAATAATTTGGAATATTCCATAATGACAGCAACTGCAAGGCTGGGAGGGATTTAATATAACCTTTCTTTGTTTATAAATATAAATGTACATTCCAATGTCATAATTTGTTTCAATTCTTAATATATTTGAAGTGTTTCATGACTACATCTTTCTGAAATTATATAGTGTTTTTGTGAGCTCGTTCAGTAATAACAAGTATTGCCAAACATGTTTTTGTCTTTTATTATGTCTCTAGTAAAGTTTCAATTTTACACTTAAACCAGAGATTTGGCCTCATTATTATGTGTGAAAAATAAAGCATAACCCCTGCAAAATTATAGCATTTATTCAGAATAAATTTTCTTAGAATTTCCAATGAAATCCATTGATTGAAATTAAATTAATTTAATATTGGGTCCTTTAAAATATTTAGTGTTATCAGACCTTTTTTGGTCCATAATGCTGTCAGTAACAACATTATATAGGCTCCTTGAACTTTCATAACTGAAAATGCCTTCTTAAATAGAGGCTGAAGAAAAATGTTCTACTTCAGAGAATACTATGAAGAACAGACCCTTTTAAAGATGGGGCTAGATCCTAGCTTTCTCTAGGTACTCAGCCACAAGCTGCCCTAGCGGTTTTTCTACTGTTCACTGCATAGAGGTCCACCATCCACCATCCCTAAGGGCAGCTAGGCTTCAGTATTTTGGGGAAACAATTGGAGGCAGCGGCCTTTTGAAAGAGGGCATTTTAACTGAGGGCAGCTTGTGGCCTCAGGGCAGGTCTACACTACCGCTTAAGTCCACCTAACTTATGTCACTCAGGGCTATGAAAAAGTCCCCCTCTCCGAGCGACATAATTTTGCACTGTCCATACCAGTGCTATGTCAGTGGGAGATTCTCTTCTGCCAACATAACTTCCGCTTCTCACTGAGGGGGAGAAATTATGCTGACGGGAGAGCACTCTCCTGTCAACATAGCACATCTGGTGAAGAAGAAGTGCAGCTGCGCTGATGGAGTGCTGTAGCATAGATTTGCCCTCATTCCAGTTACGAGCAATAGGAGATGGTAGCCACTTCAAAAGGTCAATTCTTCATGAAATTGCCTGTAATAGAACATTATTTGCTAGCATCTGCTGAAGAAAAAACTACCAGTTGTAAGGAATGGACAAGAAATTATCATTAATCCTATTTTTTTTAAATTCCCTGTTGCACCTGATCTGCCGAACAGGGAGTGCAGGAAAGAGGGGAAAACTAGTTGTGTATGCATGTGAAGGAGAGACCAAGAGAATGTGGGTGGCAGAAGGGAGAAACTGGGATGTGTGAGCATATTGGAACGTGGCTGATGTAGTAGGGGAGGGAGAATGTGGGGCATGATGGAGTGATGTGTGTATGCCAGGTTATGTAGGAGAAGTGCAGAAGGCAGAGGGAGTTTCATGGTGAACATGCATGCAGGCAAATGCACAGGGAAGGGAAGTTTAGTGTGTTTGTGCAAGGGAAGATGGAGGCTAAGAGGAGGCTGATGGTGTATACGCTGGTTGCTTTGCAAAGGAGCTTTAAACCCAGCTTAATTGCCCAGTATGTTCTGGCTACTTTGTGCTGCCCCAGAGTGGAGTAAAGTAGCCGGAGTATATTGATGAATCTGGCCACAGAACTTAAAATTTAAATAGTTACTTAAGAGTGGTACTTCACGTATTCAGAGCATTAGAAACATCACATGATAACATGGACTTTCTTGTTCAGGGTTTATTTGTTAAAATAACAAAAAAGAAATTCCCAGAGAAAAACTAAGTTTAAATGGAGTTACGGTTGAGGGTATATATCATTAGTTTAAGGTTAAATACACTAAACTACGATTATTGCATAATCAAGCATTATGAACCAAAGAAATCCAAAGTTAATGTTAAACTTAAAAGAAATCCAAACATGTTAAGTTATGGAACTGCATATTAGAGCACCCCAAAAGCCTGAACTCTGCCCTGGAGAGGGGAAAAAATCAGATGTGCCTTTAAAAATCAGTTCAATCTAATCTGGGACTAGAAATACTACAATACCTTAATCATAAATATATGGCTATTGCATAGTATCACTCAGCCTAGTGAGAACACTGAAAAGTAAAATCATTATAGGGAAGGGTTTATGACATTCTGTAGAAACTAAGGAAATTTACATTATTATTTTTTTGCAGAAAAAGTTTATGAAATAGCACAGAAATTCAGTAGTTCCTATTTTAGCTATTTTTAACATTGTTTTGTGTGCAGAACATTTATTAATAATTTGAACCTACGACATAAATGTACTGTGTGAAATCCTGACTCCATTAAATTCAATGAGAGTTTGCCATTAACTTCACTGGGATCAGGATTTCACCACTGTGTGTATATTGTACAAATGTGCATGACGGATAAAAGTTTAGAAAAATGTTGTTATTTAAGCAGATATCTTTCAATAATTGTAATCAGTAACCTTTCTCTTTAGATTACTCTGGAGCAGATGATAAAAGAAAATTTGTGGTTAGCACAAGAGTATCAGATCTTTCAGAAATATTGTTTAAATGATAAAGAAAACCTTATGGATCTCTATGATGATAGGGTCAAGGTGGAAGCTGCAGTTAGAGATCATCAGCAGGTACAGTACTAATATAATGCATTTGATTCCTTAACTAGTGATCTGTTTTCTAAAATTTATTTATTTATTATGGCTACTTAATGAAATTGGATAATCATGCAATCTATGGCCTGAATTCTTGTGATGTCTGGCTATTGTATGCTGTTTGTATTTTCCATTTGACTTGTATAGGACAGTTTTTGTAAGAAGATGCTATAAGGATATGTAGGGTCTCACTCTAAATCATCCATTTTTGGTACCTAAATTGTGTCTATACCTTAGTACCAGTAATTTCATGTAATTCAGTATTGCAAAGATCATCTTCATAGTACATCTTTTGTTAGCATGGTCTTTATATAGCATTGGGAGTTCACTGACATCAACAGCCAAACTAAGGCTCCAATTCAGGAAAACACACACAAGAATACTTCCATATTCAGGAAATCACTTAAATACAAGCTTAACTTCAAGCACGTGCATAAATTCCATTCTAGTCAGTTAGTAACTGCTTCAATAAATACCCATGATTATGGCATGATAGCAGTTGTTTCATAGTTTAAGGTTGCATTTGAGTTTTCATTATAAGTCTGATTTTTGCACCAACCACCACACTTTTTGAATACTGACAAAAAGTCATGTCTGCCTCAGAAGCACTAGGTTAAATCTGAGGCCAAGGAAGAATTTTTCTACAGCATACAAAAACACTTTGGTTTTTCTACAATGTGTTTAAAATAATCAAAAAAACAAGACAGAGGTAGAACCTAGTTTGCTGAACTTCCCTGACGAGATATAGTGCCCATGACTCAATGTTAATCAACTAAAGTCTCATTTCAGAAGTTCTTAACTTTTGATCTGTAACATGCTATGGAACATCAGGTCAATGATATGTACCACATCCAAGAACGGTTGGAAACCTATGTTTTCATTTTCTAAGAAAATAGTGTTACTACAATTTTTTTTCTAGAGATAGACTTCAAAATGTAAACCAATCCCTGGGATGTCTGTTCAGTGGGAAAAAAAGATAAATTTTCTAATATTCTAGTTGGATTTTAGTTGGGTTTTTGTTTGTTTTTCTTTTTTTTATCTCTTGCATTTTTGAGAGTTTATATGCATTTAAATCACTGTTATATTGCCACAACCTTAACTTTCCTAACAATTTTTGGTGGGAAGTCTCATAAACTCAATTCATTTGTGCAAGAATCTAGTCCCACTATAGTAACCATATTAAAAAGCAGGTGAGATTAGGCCACTTCCTCAAAGCAGTCTTCTTTACAGGATACTCTAAAAGAATCCAAATTACCTGCTAGACTTCAGTATCTAAAATTTGTTTACAAGAGCCTACATTTTCATCATACAAATACATCAGCTGTGCATTTATTCATCAACTATACGCATTCTGTCAGCCATTCATCGCTCATGTTGAAATTGAATGTGTTCCACTTGTTACTGACAATTGTCAATAGGCGAGTAACAGTGTATTCTTGTTGATCTCACAGCCTTCCATTTTTCAATCAGTAAACAGTTTTAAGAGTCAAAATCTAGGGCTAATCATGTTTGAAAGAAGGAGCTAGAGATTTATGATTTATGAAAATGATTAGCAATGAAGCACATATATCCAGATTGGTCCTGCTTTGAGCAGAGGGTTGGACTAGATGACCTCCTGAGGTCCTTCCAACCCTGATATTCTATGATTCTATGATTCCAGTGTGTGGCTTACAACTGCTACCTCAACTAGGAATTTTAGGGAAGTCTAGAATTTGACAGTATGCCAGTGCCATTTAACAGAGGCACATAAACCAAGAGTTGGAGTTCTATGTAGGATATTAACTTCAGAGAATTATAGGAACTGCTAACTAACTTTCCTTTTTGATACCTTTAACTTTCTAAAATGAATAACCTGTCTAGCTATAAAGACAAAATAATCACATCAGCACCAGAGGGAGAGTTTTTTTCAAAAATGATGACAAATGAAGTAAAGATGTTGGTTACATATGGGTCCTATAAAAAGGAGGCATATTTTCCTCAGTTTTTTACTAATAAATGACTCACAACTGCAACAGAAAATCATTTCTGTAGGAGTGCCAGTGTAATGATTTTTTTTAGCTGCTGTACTATGCATATAGATCACAGTGACATGAACATTTGAGAAGAAAAGAATATATTCATTTCCCTAAATCTACAGAGCTCTCTTTTCCTTCTATAGCTTAGATATATGTGACAATCAAAATTAGCAGTCATTTTTTTAAGAAAGGTTGATTTAAAAGGTAAAGTAGCCATGTTTGCCTTGTTCTGATTAATTTAAACTGGATATGGCATTCACTTACTGCCTTAAACTGTTGAGAAATTGCTGTGTGCTTGTCAAATAGTTGCTTCATTCAACCCCAAAAGTGTCTCAATTTCAGTGATGAAGTATTTCCTTTATACCATGTAGATCTATATTATGGCTTTGCAAACCTCTGGACTACAGGTTGGAGAAACATCTGTAGTGCTCCAGAATTGGTGAATAGAGGGGATATGCCTGTAAAAATATACCTCCATGGGCATTGAGGAAGCCAGGGGTCACGCTTTGGGGAGGCAGTAGGTGGCACAATCTCCACACTACTGCTCACAGCCTTCCTAGATGGCTGGGTGTGGCTTAGCAGGAAGGCGAGAATCCTTGCTTTTATGAGTTGCTACCACTAGTGGAAGCATCTGCTGCATACACTGTATAGTTGCTTTTTAGTACTTTGCCTCTTGCTGTCTCCTTCCTCCCAACTCTACCTCATTACTGTTGTGTTGCCAATTCTCACAATTTTATTGCAAGTTTTGCAATATTTAATGTTCTTCTTTAAGTCCCAGCTCCTGGGATCAAGTGCTGTAATTAGGTAAGAATCTCTGCTTCTATTTTTAAAAAAAGTTTCTAATCCTCATGGTTGTATAGAAAAGCTTGAAAATGTAACTCAAGAGAAATCTACATGGTTAAAAACCAGAGGACAAATGTAAAGAACACAACATTTATTATTTTTTAAATTTCCTAATCTTTAAATCAATCTTATGATTTTGGGAGCCTGACTCTTGATTTTCAAATGCTTGATGTTGGCAGTACTTCTGCTGCAAAGTAGTAATAGGAGGAATCTTACCAAAATATCTGCCTCACAGCTTTTGACCCCCTGCATAATCTTCTAGTGAGTAAGTGAAGGACAGGAAAAGATCTTAGAAAGAGTGAGTATAGGAGCAAGAGCCATTGTTGTAGTGGGTGAAAGACTTGAGGGTCTGAGGAAGGAAGAGCATTCTGGAGCCAAGAGCTATGAATGAAACCCCTGGAGAGGTAGAGAGATGAGACCCAGGCAAAGGGAAAGGTATGGAGGAGCAGTGGAAGGTGAGAGACCGCAGGGTACAGGGATGGCTCTGGAGAAGAAGTTGTTCAAGAACAACTGGGGAAGGGATAAATCAACAGGTTAAGGGTGAGGGAGCACAATGTGACAGGAGAGGGGAAGAGAGGGAGAAATGCCAAAGGGGAAGAGAGAAAGAAAGACGTGGAAGATAGGGATAGGAAAGGCTCCAGATGGAAGATGAGAGAGGGGTTTGTAGATCGTGAGGAAGAAATGCCAAGGGATTTTCTCAAAAGGGCAAAGGAGGACGCAAGCAGAGTCTGAAAGAGAAGAGAGTGATCTCAGAAATGAAGAGAAAGATGTAGATGGCTGGCAAGGAAGGGGAGGGGAGAGGCTACAGGTGTTGGATGAGATGTCATAGGGAAGACTCTTTTGATGGGGGAGAAAGACACCAACTGGAAGGAAAAAAACCTGAATGAATAATTGATTTTTCAGTTTGGTGGCTGAACCACAAAATAAAACTAAAAAAGTGTTTAAGTTTTTCACCAAAATGGAATTTTTTCGGTTTTTCTCACCCAAATGAAAAAGTTCATTCAGGTCAAGTGCTGATTTGAAATGAAATGTCAAAACTGTTTGTTTCAAAAATGGTGAAACAAAACATTTGGACTTTTCCAAAAAAATTTTGTTTTGTTTTTTTTCTCCTCCCTCCCCCACCGCACCCCCCCAAAAAAACCTATTCACTGCATTCAACCCAAATTTGCAAATAGTTTCAGTATCCCAAAAAATACATTTTCCAGCCAATTTACTCTAGAGGAGGCGCATGGGGGGAAAGACATCCCCATGAGAAAGAAGGGGATGGGAGAGGGAGCAAGAAGGGTTTCAGAAAAGCAGAGATGAAGAATGGAAGGAGAGGGAAAAGAAAAAGGGTGTCTCTATGGACAGATTTAGATGAAGGGTGGGCAAAAATAAATAGTAGATTAAATTTAAATATAGTGAGACAGGCAGAGAAGGAAAAAGAAAATTGTTGATCAAATAAATAAAATAAAAACAAGTGAGAGACTGTAATGTTATTTATTTTTATTATGTGAATTTCATAGAAAGCTTGGTGCCAAAATGTAATCTAAAGTACACTATTGGTGTGTGTGTGTGTGTGTGTGTATATATATATGTGTGTGTATATATATATATATATATATATCAATCAGGGGAACTTAGTTCCTTAGGATTAGAAGGGTTTGTGAGACCCACTGTAATGCTGGATGGAGGGCCATCTTCTTCTGTATGCTGGAAGGCAATAATTTGTTTTGGTTTCATGTGTGTATACAGTGTTGATGCTGGACTTGTGTGTGCGAGTGCGTGTGTGTGCGTGTGCATGAACTCATGTGAGAAGAAAATGCAAGCATGTTTGAAACCCTATGATCTTGGTGCACATTATTACAAAAATTTGCAAATCATTCTCAAAGGGGGTAATTAATTCTAGGGCTTTATGCAACACTGAAGCACTGTGTTAAGGATTTAGCCCAGGATTTTCAAAAATAGGGACTTATAAATAAGATCTTGAATACATATATTTCAAAAGTGCTGGCCAACCAGCACCTCCCATTGACCCTGATTTAAAAATAAATCCTAAGTACTATTTGAAAGTTTTTGAAGTATATCCTCAGTTCAGTGACAGAGGCATTAAAGAGTCTCTTAATGTTCAACAGTAATCCTATCTCTCTGTGTTGTTGACATGTAATGTCAATATGACTTAGATTAACTAGATTCGGTCTAAATTTAAGCTTTCTTTGACATAATTCATTTATCTAACCAGTTCTCTACTGTTGTAAAGACAGTATTGCCTTAGGTCTGGAGAGGGAGGTTGTTGGACAGCTGCTTTTCAGAGTTAAAAGTCATAATATTTAGTTTCATTTACAAAAGTAAAATGTATTTTTATTAATAAAGGTGCTTTGGTGCACATATAATCACCAGTGAAAAGCAGTTACATTTATCCTGATATCTGAATTCTTCGGACATCATCAAAAATCGCTTAGCACATGAACGATGTATAACTTAAGCCCCCAGTACTAAGACTAAGTATTATTCAATGGATGGATTCGTTCAGTTGGCCCCTTTTACGTGTTCGTCAGCTGCCCAGTACCACTTCCACTATATCATATGCTCTGGCTTTATTATTAACACATGTCCCACTATTTCTTTCTTCTCTTCTGGATAATTTAGGAGATAAGCAGTTGAACTCTCTGACAAAACTCAGCATTTGTTATAAATTCATTCCATTTAATACTCACTATTTTCCTGTGGCATTTGCTTTCAAAGGCATTTAGGCAACTGTCAGTACCTTTGGTGGATTTCCAGCTTTCATATCCATATGTTCTTCTTCAAGGAATGTCCCTGTGGGTGCTTCATTTTAGGTGTCTTGGCGCCCTGTGCTTGTAATCGGAGATTTGTGGTAGCAGTGCCTGGTTGGGCCGCACATGCACCGTAGCCATCTTGCGCCGCTCTGAGCGGTTACATAGTGGTGCGCAGCCAACCATCCTCCAGTTCCTTCTCTACCAACTTTGGCTTGAGTTGAAGTGATCAGCAGCACCCTTTCTTACATCAGATAATATTTATAGTAGTTAGTTCATAGTGATAGTGTTAGCTTAGTTGTAGTTAGTTTTCCCTATCTATTTCCTTACTTTAATTTCTTAAAATTTCTTAAATTAAAAAAAAAAAGTTTTTTCCTTTGCCATTTCTATCTACCCCTGCCTCTCTGGCAAGCATACAACCTTTGCCTCAGCAGGGTTTACCCCTTACTTTTTTCTAAGAGACCGGCTCTCTCAGGCTTGCCTGGTTTACCTGGCTTTAAACGCTGCCTGACTTGCAGACTATCCATACCTGTCTCTGACAGCCATGCTCAGTGTGTCCGCTGCCTTGGCGAGACACACGTTACTCAAAAGTGCCCACACTACAGAAAACTGACAGCTAGGACATTAAAAGCCAGGGATCTTCAACTGAAGCGCATCATGATGGAGAAATCACTCAGACCAGCCTCTGACCCCGAGTCCAGGTCACCCCCTGGCCAAAGGTCGCCAACGGCAGCCTCTGACAGGGGCTCCACTTCAACATCAGCTGCCAAGGAGCCTACTTCTAGAAAGGCTACAAAAAAGCAGGCACAGACATCCCAGCACCAATAATAGCCTAAACGAAAGTGATCTCCGATAGAAAAATCTGTCCCGGTACTGACGGCACTGAGAGCGTCGGACCACAAGGCACTGGGAATGTCTGGCACCGAGAGTTCCTGACGAGTTAAAGACTCTGTGTGGGCAGGCTCTAATGAAGGTTCACATAGCAAAGTGAAACCTTCCAGCTCAGCGCCCATGGAGCCGAAGAAGATCTCGGCACCTAACGGTACAATGGCACCACCTGCTGTACCAATGCCACACAGCTCTAAATCCTCAGCACCAGCAGCTTCAACTCAGGCTCCCCGGCTGTCCTCCATGCTGTCCCCAGCACCGAGCCTCATGGTACCGCAGCAGCTCTTGAGATACGCGGACCTGGTAATGGCTTTAACACCTGCATCTCCTCTACGTGGCACTGAGAGTACCCCATCCAGATCAGTACATAGCCAGCTGATTGCTCCCTGCAGTTCAGCTCCCCCACCCCATCTCCAGTGATGAGGAAGAAAAGGATGATGCAGTGATACTCCTTGTCATTCCTCATCAAAGCCAGGACCATTTCATCACCAACCACCTGCAGATATTTGAGGATGGTATGATCACCCATGGGCAGCACCCTCCATACCATTTCCATTAACTGGTCATTCTGGGATCCATGGGCAATGTATAGGGTGCAAAACCACAGGCCACCTAGGTCCAGAACAGCCCCGTCCCCTTCACCTACTGCTCTGGCACCCTCTGACACACAAGAGGAAGACACTGAGGAACTTGAGGACACAGCTGAATATGACACTTTGCCGCCTACTCACTTCCCATCTTTGTTGTCAGATGAAACCATAATTCCACCAGCCCCTACTACGGGGGATGATTTCAAATCCTTTGAGGACCTCTTCAAAGGGGTTACTGAATCCATAGACATTTTGTTGGCAAAGCCACCAGAAGCCCAACGTAAGCTCGTGGACATACTCCAGGCATCCACATCAGCAAAGATAGCCTTGCTGATAAATGATGCTATTATGGAGCCTGCGAAAATCATCTGGCAGACTCCAGCTACTGCACCACCCTCGTGTAAGAGGTCTGACAAAAAATATTATATGCCAGCAAAGGGGGTTGAATTTTTATTCACACACCCTGCACCAAACTCCTTAGTGGTGGAGGCAGTCAATCAAAGGGGGAAACAACACCAGTCCCGAACGACCCCATATGGTAAGGATTGGAAAAGGCTAGACCTTTGGGGGCAGAAAGCCTATTCCTCAGCTACGCTTCAGTTCCTCATAGCTAACTATTCAGCCCTGCTGGCTAAATATACACACAATCTGATCTCCAAAATGTCAGCCTTTATTGAAAATTTGCCAGAAGACAAAAAAGAAGAGTACAAAGCAAACATTTCTGAAG